TTAAACAAATCCCGTGAAGGTCACCTTTCTCTGAATTAAACAAGGGTTCATTTCAGCTATTAAATACCAAAGGATATAATTTTTTTTAAAAATTTTAATTATTGAGATTAAGATACGTTGGCAATTTCAATTATAAAATAATAATTTCCTGATTGACAGAACTTTCTAGAATATTCTCCATTTGATTTATCAGGTGTTTATATTTTTTATAATTATCAGTATTTAAGTTGCTAATAAAAAAAAATCGACGATCTGGTTGTCTAAATATGATGTTTTTACGTGTTGAGTGGTTTTTTTGGAGGGGTGGAGAGGGGGGTATAACTATACCACAGGGATTTTAAAGCCTACAAACAAAAATTAAACATTTTCGATCAGGGAGTTTTTTTAAAATAATATAGGTATTCTTCGATGCACTTATATTTATCTACTTTTCCCCCTGATAACATAACTGCTTATCTACATCTCTTTTAATTTTGTTATAAGAGGATTTTAGGAATTTCTTTCCTTTTTGATAATCGGATTTTATTTATCTTTTCTTTCTTTTTTTCTTCGTTTTTGATTTTCATAAAACCCCTATTATTGTCTACCAAATGGATTAATATAATATAACTAAGTCCTCGTCCTGGTTTTTTTTCCTTATTTTTTGCAACTTATTTTTGTTTAGCTCGGGCTAAATTGATGATTTTGAACTAGGACACACTTTTTTGGTTGAAAATCACAAAGATACGTTTCATAAGTAAATATTACATCTTTCATTTTAGGCTGTTTAGAGGAAGCTATGTATACGTCTAAATAGCCTGCTGTTTAGAAAGAACTAACCATGACACGGCCTAAATATTGATAAAAATTTTCAGAACAAATGTTTAATCTCTTTTAAATCACAAATTTGGCTAAAACCTTGTTGCTAATAGTTTTTTCCTTTACACTGGCTCTACTATACTGTTTAAAGCACTCATGATCACTAATAAATGCCGAATCATTAGCACATATTACAGTATTAGTGTTATAATTGTTGGATAAACTTTAACGAAGATAACAGAAAAATATTACATATTTTCTAAAAGCAAAATAAAAAAGGGAAAATCAAAAATACCTAATCATCATTTATATGCGTGACCGAAATTATAGGCATGGAGGCAAAGTCCTCGAAATATTTTTCGTAACCCATCTCTCTCTTAAATAAATCATGGATACGACATTGGATATAAATAAATAATAGGTTTAAAGACCCAACTAACCCAGGAGGTCTACAAGATCCTGATTAGGTAGTATACATGATCTTAATCAGTATATTCATTTTATAATAGAATTCTTTTATGTTATAGGAGGCTTCAGCGGTCATCGGCTTAGTAGGGCTCAAAACTTATGGATATTCCCTCCAAAAATTTTATAGAGTAATGTTTTCTCTGATAAATTATCAAAAATTAGTTAAATAGGAAAGTAATGTACTTTAATTTTCTCCCTCTATTCTTGATTGTAGAGCTTGCAATTTATTTCTTACATTATCTGTTATTATTTTGATAAGCGTAGGTAATATTAGCGATACATTTTGCAATTCATTATACTTGGTGATCACATATGTTAGAGCCGAGAAGCATAACAGCTCGATTTATGATTTTTTATTTGAAATTTTAAAAAGGTTATTTTAAAATATAAGTCAATCAAAAATTAGAGAAAATAAGTTAAATTTTCCTAATTTTATTATAGAACATACATAAAAATAATAAATTAAGTAACAGTAGCATAACCACATATAAAGCTAATTATTGAACAAATGTATATAATTTTAAAACACGTTATGAAGTTTAAACCCAGTTTGAAAATATTTATAACCCTTCAGTCTCACCTTTCAAAGATTTCTTTTAACAGTTGGGGTTAAAATTATAACATTCGTACTTTTTGGTTTGACAGCCCTAGCTATAATATTATATATTACTTATTTTTGCATATTTTTTTAAGTTTTTTGCAATACAAATTTTTAATTTTGTTGTAATCATAATTCTGGGGGAAATTTTATTTTATACCATTTAATAATTGAATAAAATATATTATAATAATAATCGGTAAAATTTCTTTCATCATCAATACTAGTGAATGTTTATTGAATTTTATCAACATATATTGAGAAGAGTTCCACTAAAAGAGTCCATAAATTGTAGTTTTATTGGAGAAGTATTATTTTCCGGAATAAATTTTGCTCGAAAGTCTATAATAATCAGTTCATTAGGTGAAACTCGCGTTCACATATTTTTGGTAGCTACAATGAATTTATTAATAAAAATTTTAAACTTTCTTAAATCATCGTAATGTTTATTGTCGATATTCCATTATCAGATTGATCCCTCTCCATAATATAATAAATGAATCATTTATATTTTTTTTTGCAAGCAATATCTGCTGGGATATATAATATTAACATCTCACTTTTACTAGAATTTTCAAAATTATACTGGCAATTACTAAAGCGGTTATAAATTACGTTTAAATGATTGTAATAAACAATACACGATATCAAAGCGAGAAATGATAATAAATTTTTTTTAGCAACGCTCTACTTGAATAACTAGTCTTATATTTCATATAAATTGTGTCATTCAAGAATTTAAAGAGTACCATGGCATAATGATAGACTATAGTAAGCATTGTTGCGGTGCCATGCCAGATAAACGGTTTTGACATTAAGTATCTTAGCTAGCCAAAAAAAAGAATTTTAATTTTGCGAATAATCTTCAGATAAACAAAATATACTAATGTATTGATTGCCAAAAGGTTTAGACTCTAATTCAATTAGGTCCAAAAATAAAAAAAATGCATTTATTGAAAACAAACACCAATAACAGATTTCATATAAACAATAAAGGCTACTTTATTGGTATGAGTATAGAAATCTTAGATTGAAGGCTGGCAATAATATTTATGATTCTTATTAGCATTTCCTAACAATGCAGTCGACTATATTTAACGCGGAGATATGTAGTGAGTGTCATTTATAAAAGTTTCATATCTACTTGCGCTTATGTAATTCTATTAATAATATAAATTTTGATTTTTGTTACCCGCCATACATCACTGTTAACATGACATACTCATCTTGATATCTACCAAGGTTATTCAGAATTTAAAAAAAAAGATTTTAGTATTAATAAAAATTGAATTAAAAAATTTAAATTCTGTTATAAACCATATTTAATTATTATTCATTAAGATCAATTTGTAATAAAGTATAAAATAATTTTAATATCTTTAGTATAAGAGCTAATAAAAAAAAAATAAGAATATCTTGAGGAAATACGATATTATTTAATAAAACGTTTTAATTAAAATGTAAATATAGATTAATTTATATAGATTCTAAATTACATTTTTGAATATTTTTTTTACTAGGGAAGCAGATTTTACAGCATTTTTATGCAAATTTTTATTTTTCATAGTAAGCATATTTATATTAATGAGTTAGATATTAAACAAGTAAATTTAATTATGCTAAACTTAAAATATATCTATTTGTATGTCCGTGGAATATGTAATTTAGTATTCTTTTTTAAACTTGACTTTATAATTTTGCTAGAAGGTAATAAATTACTTAATCTTATTATTATGGAATTCAATGCACACTGTATAATTTATGTAAGTCATTTTAGAGATACCATAATATTGAATTTTTTTTTAGGTTTGACATTTTTTTCATTACAAATATTTAAAAGTATTATTAACTATAATTTTTTTTTTGCTAAAATATACTGTATTATAGTAGCATTATCAAGGAGGGTGGGTCCCTGTTTGAAAATTTGGAATTATTATGAAACCCTTTTCATTTATAAATTTCTCTAGCACCTTCAAAATGTGAAAGTATAGCTAACGCTCCTAACATTTTAAATATTATAATCTAAATCCCTTTCTTTTGTTCAATTTAAGAACATTAGAATTTTTTTGAAAAGTTCTCCTAAATTGAATATGCTTAGAAACGTCACTCTTGGATTTTTTTTATAATTGTGTTATCTCTATTTTAAATACACTTTTAGAACATGTCCATCTGTATTTTAAATACATTTTTATAACATGTCCAACCTTGGAAAATATATATAAGGTTGATTAATAATAATTTTTAAGTTTTATTTACCAATAAAATTTTCATGCATAGTCTTAGAAAGTCATAAAATTTAGCGGCGAACAGTCTAGCACCCATTTCATTCTGTTTATTATAAAATAATAATATTTATCAATATATTTATTATTATTTAAAACATTAATTTGTTCTCTTTAGCGCCAAAATTTACACTCTGAAAATAACAGATAAAAAAAATAAAACAGAATAATTACATAATCGGTGATTTTATTATAAATAGTCTGAAGTGAAGTTAATGTAAATATTGTGACGCAATTTTTATTTATCGAATAAGAGGCCACTTGATATGATTGCTTATGTTATAAATTTTTTTAATTAAAAGTTGATTTATTTAGGGAAATCTTAAGTGTTACTACTACTTGTTGGGCTCGATTCTATTAATTTTGGCACATAAAATTTTGCGCTAGGCCTAAATAAGTAAAAATAATTTAATGCACGCTTAATGATATATAATGAAGAGCAAACTTTGAATAAAAAAAACATGTCAAGTTTTAATACCTAAAAATACATTTTATTATTAATATATGTAACATAATAATATGTAATATAAACTATGGTTGGAAATAATATTTTTAATTTTATCAAATTATCAGTGAGCATTATATAATATATTATATCTTTTGTTACCAATGTTTCTTTAAAATCACTCAATTGTTCATAATACATTATATATTTAAGTTTTATAACATGAATAAAATACATTATATATTATAATATATTATTGTTTTAAAAATATGTAGGACAAATTTTAAAAACCCACCTTTAATTAAAAAATATATTATATTTTTTAAAAAAATCTTTATTTATAAATTATTTTTAAAACTTTGATTTAAATAATATAAAAATATTTTAAAAGCACTACACCCATCGCCTCCCCTAATTTATATAATATTTATATTTGCCCAAAAATTTTGAAATTAGGTTACAAAACAAAATTTTCGAGTTTGACAAAATCATCCAAAATAAAAATTTTTTTACAAAATTTGTATATTTATAAATGGGATTTAATTGCTATAATAAAAATCCTTAGCGGATATTCATTATCTCCATACTCCCGTAAACATTCTTAATGCAAATATTAGTTCTATTAAATTTTATTATTTTTATCTTACTGAATAATATTTATTTTAAAAAAATATACCTTTTCCTTCATTAGGAGGAATGCATTTTTTTATTAGATTAAATTTATATAAAGTAATTCATTTCAAAAAAAATCTTTTTTTATACAGTTGTTAGTCGGAATCAAAGAACAATAAAGGAATAACAATGCTCAAATTCAACTCAATTATGAAGTGTAATAACGACAAAAAAAAATTACTGATAATCTCATTACTCCTGATTCAATTATTGAGCCGAGAGTTCTCTATGGTTAACGCGCGTTTCTACGACATTCGGTCGAGTGAATCGAAACTAACGGATACCGAAATCGATGATATGATAAAAGTTATAAAGACTCATAAAGTTACATACTGCGGCAATAATTTGAATAAAATATTGCATCTCGTGTGCAACGGGGTTTATTATGAAGGCAAATCTAGATTTAAAAGAGGTCTCTTGAACGAAAATTCAAGTATAATAAATTATTTTTTAATAAATGATCTACAGCAAAACTCTAAAGTGGTTTTTTCATTGTGATCACCTCATTATATTGATTGCTTTACTTCGATCCTTTGAGGTCCTATTTATTTTTATTTTGACTACCTGCTAATGAACAGTCATTGAATGACCACTTATTGGAGTTTATATTGTAAACTATTTGTGACGAATTTTTATTTTTTAAAAGTTAAAGATTATTATTATAGTATGCTCATATATTCTTCATCTAGGGGAGATCGGTGATCATGTGAGCCCTAAAAGGCAAACACCATGATCAGAGCTATACTCACTACTATATAATTCTAAAAAAATAATAATTTTGTTCCTTTTACTTACTTTTACATATAGAGAAGAAAAAAAAATACAATATAATAATTTTTGCGAAATAAATATTGGGAAGGAATAAGCCCATTCGAGGATGGTCGTGCGGTTGTTTGTGAGAACTAAGAAAAACAATCTTTTAATTCACTTTGCATTGTCTTTAAAAGATTTATTTAATATGTAAAAATATTTTTAAAATTAAAAATCAAATTTAAACTTATAGTTATATCATTAATTCTGAAATGAATGTTTAAATGGTTCGTAGGAACATCTGAAGACTAACCCCATACAGGGTTTAATCTTTTATATAAGATAATTTTTCAATGAACTCCATTCTTTATTTATCATTTACAATTAATTTTTTTTAAAATTTGATATGTATTATTTTTTTTTAAAAAATCTACATTTAAAGTGTGAGTATATTAAATAATATATAAAATTAAAATTAAAAAAAATAAGAATTAAAAAAAATAAGAACCAAAAATAACTATTTAAGTTAAATCGATAAGGCTTAATGATCCATGTGTAGACAGTTGAATAAGCAAATTTCGATTGATATTCTTTGCCGTAAGTAACATTTTTGATTAAACGTAACTTCTTTCCTATTGTTTTGAAAATTCCATGGTTTGAGGTTCAAGTGAACCGCAGGTGTCTGAGACTATCAAAACGAATAAAATTCTTTAGGTGGCTGTGTTTATTAGTTTTTTCTGTTCTCGTGGAGTTAGTGGAAAAGAATCTGGCAAAATGATCTATGCAAGTTGAATCAAGCAAGAGGAACACCATGATGATTTCAAGGGATTAAGATCATTGTTATCAAAACAATTAAAACTTTTATAATTTTATATTTTTAAGAAATTAAAAAAATTTCAATATTTGCATATTTTGCGTTCTACGAAATTTTTATTGGCCCAATGTTAAAAAAAATTTTTTTTAATCGCCTAAAATGTATAATATAGTTATATATTTTCAATAAAACAATTAAAATATTGGAGTTTAGTATTTAGTAAGTATCCTATAAGAAAATTCCCGCCCGCAAGAATTTAGATGATAACATCCCGATCTCCCATACTCACCCATTCTTAATAATATAAAAATATACATTATGTATATAATAGGATTTTTCTATATTAGTTGAATATTTTAACAAACTTTTTTAAAAAATAATTAATTAGATTATGTAGATTCATCTAACAATTATAACGAGGACGACGACTCTGATGAATCTGACGATATCATCCATCAACCAGGTACTAATATGTTATCTAGAAAACCAGGTGCATATAAAGAATGCTGCCTTAAGGCTTGTACTATTTTACAATTGAGGGCATTTTGTGGTAAACCTAAAATGTCTATAGAAAATTTTTAAATTCCTTATGATTACAAAAAAACACAATTCAAATGATATTTTATTTAAATAAATATTATTAATATATTTATTCATTTATTTTTTTTTTACTGATCGAATTTTAATTAAAAATTTTATATACCACATAGTATTTGTTTTAAAACTTATCCACATTCTTAGAAAATACGAATCATTTATTCTTGTCTCGCTTCTTAATTAGATAATTAACTTTTATAAACTATTTTTAAAAAATTCGATCGAGATAACAATTATTTATCTATCAATTGTGAGAACCAATGCAGGCAAGGATGGCTTGTAATTAAAATGTTCATATTCGCTTAATCAGCCTCTTATCATTATAAAATTTGATGTCCTTCAAATATAATATTAAATCAAATAACGATTAAATTAAATATCTTATTTTTATTATATAAATGTATGTATACTTTAATTTAAATATATGTATTTAATTTAATATTTATATTTCTATAATATTTTTGTTCTGCATTATTTGTTTTAATTTTAAACAAAAAGACTCAATAAGCACGCAATATACTGTGTTATTATAATATTATTCTAAAATCCCATCAATTTATCCTTTTTCTATTTTAATATGTCCCATTTTTTTTTCAAACACCATGCTCTTGTTCTTTAATTTAAAAAATGTGATTTATATATAAATATATAATATCGATACTTTATATTGCGCATAAAACTTATCTTTTCAACGCGATCTCATATATTATTTATTTATTTTTAAATAGAATTAATTTATCCAAAATATTTAGATTTATTTATATTACCTTTTTTTTTTGTATTATTGAATTTGTATTAAATGTCCAGTGTCTACATGTTCGTGATAAATAATAACGAGTTTTGAATAGCTTATGGTATATGTATTATATTTAACTTTTTTATTAAATTTATTTCCTAATTTATTAATCACTCTTTTAAAAAAAAAAATTAATACTAATATTTTTTTGATTTTGAAAATATTTTTTTTAGAAAAAATTAGTTTCCGAATTAAATATTCGACGAACTAATGATAGATTCATAACTAAGATAATACGAAGATACCTTATACGAAAACAATGCAATTATTCGATTGCATTCATATTTTTATAGGTATGATTTTTAAAAAAATCTATTTTAATTAAAAAGGAGTTGACTATGTCTAAAACAATAATAAATATTCAGCCTATTAACACAATGTAAACTGTTAGTTAAAATAGTTTTTAAATGTTTTAGGATGCAAATAGGGATAATTAATCGTATTCATAAAAGGCGAAAAACAATTCGTTTTTTTTCAAATAATAAGAAAAACAATTTCTTGAAAGCAGTTGTATGGAAAGCATGACAACAAAGTCTAGACCTGGGGTCTGAGTGAATAGAGATATCTGTGGGCTAATAAATTTATGACCATTATCTAAGTTATTGATGTATTCGAGGTAAATCAAACTTTTTTACCGAAATCACGATAAAACTATTCTAAACAAGCTATCAAATTTACGCATACATATCAAAAAAAATTAGCATTTGATGTTGTATTTATATTCAATAATTTATCTTTCGGATAAATAGTTTGTAAGACATTTAGGAAGGGGTTTAGTGATTTTATTAGGTAATTATCTATTGCCCATGTAAATTTTTAACATAGATATTTTAAATTTTTAAAACATTGTGAAATTTTTCTAATTTTTTATGTGGTACGTTTCATTGATTATTTAATACCTCAATTTAAAAAAAAAATAAATCAAAAAATATACCCAACTATATATGATTAATATGATTTTATTTCTATCGTTGTAACTAGTTGCATTTATTGCGGAATTTAACCGCCAAAAGTAACTAATTATCTTTAAAAATCCATCCACAGTCAATCTACCGAAACACATCTCTATTTTATCTTCACAGTCTTAAATAATTTTACTAGATTTTAGTTAGATGTACTTATAATAAAATATACTCTTCTGCCCAATACTATATAGAATTATTTATTAAACTAGCTTTTTATGATGTATTAAATATTCTTATATATAAAATATATTTTTTAATCCCTAAAGATAAAGGACGCTAAAGATAATAAGAAAAATAATTTGGCAACATCAATAAATTCAAACAAAAAAACTTCCAGTGATGATGAAGATTTTATTATGCTATTAAATATACTTCAACTTATTTTGAGGATAATATGCAGACAAACTTTATCAAGAAAATCTAAATATGTTATTTAAATGAAAGATATTTTAAGAGAAATATTATTAGAGCTCAATTTTGTTTGCAAAACACTTCTTCTTTTAGGTTAGCTAATTGTAATTTAAATGACTGTCACTACTTTTCAGGCAGAGAAAATGTTGTTATCATGATACCACAAGATGACAACAAGATCTTTCTAGAGAATTATGATTACAAGAAAGCATATAACATTGCCATGTCAAAATGCCAACGTTTGTGGAATTTACAAGATATCTCTTGGACATCATTTGAAAATAAATTGTTAACTACTATATCCCATATAAAAAAATGGGGTATAATTTTTCTTGATAAACATATATAGAAAATTTTATTTTATATAATCCAATAATCACATATTCTAATATGATGATTTTCAAGAAATGATTTTTTATTTAATATAATTTTGTCCGTATATCAAGTTCTCCCGTTGAATGATTGTTCACTCAGCTTCTTTAAATTAAATAATCAAATGTAAAACGTGGGGCAAGTAAGATTTTTTTTCAATCAAGGACGTATTATATCACTTCTAAATATAATTAAAAGATGTTTTTTTGGGTTGAATAAAATATATATTATTGACTAATTTTTTTTATAATTTACAAGAATATTTACTTAGATAAATTTATAAATAAATCTATTTGGATTTTATTTTTGAATTTTCACCGAGCCAAAAATTAGGAACACATAATAAACTTTTATATAACATTATGGTGATATAGGCCTATTTTATTAAATGATTATCTACATTATTTATCTTTATTGAGGAATTTTTTCGGCCTTTAGCCGGGTCTTTCCTATAAAAAATATTGTTCATTTTTCCTTGATTATCTATATATAATCTCCATTAAAGCTGATTGAAAAATAGTAAGTACTACTTCTAAGATTTGTAAATATTTTGTACTTTATTAGGGTTTAACCTTAACTAGTATAGTAGCCAGCATAAATTAAAAAATTATTAGTAACAAAATTTTGGCCAACCTTAAAAATATTCAATCGCATGATTTTAGCGTTGTAGATGTTGTTTCAATATTAATTATATTAAAAGATATTTCGGAAGCAATGGGGGAGGGGGGGGGGGGTTCCCCTAGGGTATAATTGAAATACAAACACGGGGGGAAATTTAGCGATTAATTTTCGATAGAATTCGTAGTTTTATTATTACATATTCGGTTATAGTGACAGCTAATTTTTATCGCTTTATTTTTTATAACCTTGGCCTTCTAATACTAAAGAAGAGGAAGGTATTTATACCACACATCATTCTCCTTTGACTAATATATGATATATACAAATTTAAACCAATATTAGTATTAGGAGGTGTAGTTCAGTGGAATTGATGTTTAATTTGTAATACTGAATGAATTTATTTTCAGGCTTATTTTTAGAATTAATGAAAAACACAGATGCCCATAGGTTAGTATTTATTTTAAAAAGGGCGTATTCCCAACTTCTATTATTTTTTAAGCAAGTTATAATTATGGTGGGGTATAGCCATTCATAGTGTAGTGTAGCCACGACTAAAAATAACTTTTTTTATATTAATAAATTTTATTTATACCTCTTGTCAAATGCTAAATGAGATCCTGTTTCCAATTTTAATCTTTTCCCTATCCTTCTTTCAAGATTTCCAGAAGAAGCTATAACCCGAATTTTAGTAATATCAAATCCGTTTCTTTCATTTCAATTTTTCAATAGGATATTTCAAAATTAATAAAGTTTATCAATGATGTATCAAATAATATCAAATATCTTTAGTTACAAAAAAATCTCTATTTATGCGGCATAGCGCAGATATTGACGTGAACTGTAAATTTTAAACTATGTTCATCCAAAATTTGGGAAATTTATTCCACCTTACTCCCAACTTGCTTGATTATAACAAATGATATGGTTTAGGGTTTGCTCTACATTTTAAAAAAGTTTTCTAGTTTGCATAACGTTGCCCGACATCATTGCATTATCATTACCCTACCCGTATAAAACAATATTGCAAAATTCGAAATTTAAAGATAAAATATAATAGATAGATAAAATTAGTAATAAAAATATAGGTTCGATCGAGATACTTTAATTTTAAAAATTAATATAAATTTCATTTATTCTAATCATGATGATAATCTAGGAATTATCAATTTGTAAAGAAACATTGTTCTCAATATGTTTTATAAGCTCAATCGCTGTTTAAATCATACCTAGCTCACTTGATTTTACCCTTTTAATAGTATAATGCAATATTAATTTAAATTTTGAAATAAATATGAATAATTTTAGGGATTATATTGAAAAGCCAACAGTGAACACACTCCCTAAACTATTGATAGGACAATAAAATATTACAAGTAAAATGAATTATAAATGCAAAAACAAAACTATAACTTTAGTTAAAATTGATGTTACCAAGGACAGAAAAGCTTATCAGACGGTCCTATTTCTAACTCTATCACAATCTAATTGTCTAAGAACAACTCACCATGTGGGGTGCTGTATCCCAAAGATAATTATCGAAAGAATTTAATCTGGGCACCCGATCTTAAAATTTGCTGTTTCTGTGAACAGTACAGCAAAATATTGACGGCAAATATTTAGTGAACATAGGCGTAGCCAGGATTTTCTAAAAGGGGGAGGGGGAGTTAGAAAATTTCTGAGGGCTACGCACAAAGACATCATTTTGGGCGGGCCTTCGGCCTGCTTTTGCCATTTGATATTTCTCTATTATATAAAATTGGTTACAATAGGTAAATGCCACTTTTACAGACATATTTGTTAGTTATAGAATATATTGCAGTTAATATTTTAATAAACTTTACTAATCAATGTTTTTGATAATAAATTTGCATTCAATTCTTTAACGCCATCTATTTATTTTAAATAAAAAAATGATATTAAAAGTCAATCATCATATTATTTACCCCATAATGAATGTAACTTATTAGTTATTAATGCTACTGAAGCATAGAATTATATTTTTTTATTTATATTCTTTAAAAGATGTTTTCTGCACGACCTTATCAATATTCTATAGTCTTCTGATATATAATTCCCTATTAGTAAAAATTATTTGATTGTCATATCATATTAGATAAAATTAGATATACTGTAAATCTCGACGTAATATTCCACTGTTAGTATTGTGCGTTAATTTTTTTTTTAGTAATTTCATCAATAATTTTATAATTATATTTCATTTTATTAAGAAAAATAATTTAAAGTTACTCACTTTATAAAAATTATATTTGAGATATTATATTATTTAGTAATTTTATGGATCTATTAATAGTAATTATAACACATTTCACTTTTGTCTTAAAACTTATCTTTGATTTGTATTTCATTTCCTAAAATACATTTTTGGTTTTACTTTTTTATATATAAATTGCTTTTTTCCAAAAAAGTATGAATTATAATCAATAGTTTTAGTTTAAAAAAATATTAACTTTTTCATTCTTTCTTTCGAATTATTGCTTAAGATATATGCCATTTTTGGGGGACAGGGAATGGTGAGAGAACTAAGAAGGATATTTTTATTATCTTAAAATGATATTCGCAAAATGTGATAAATTTCTGAAGAGGGGTGGGCATTTTTCCCTTGCCCCCCACCCTGGCTACGCCTCTGGTGACTTATAAATCTAAG